CCCCAAATAGTTTGTTGGTAAGTTTAATGCTACTCAGAGTGAGACCAATAGAGTTTTTTGACAGGGTGTGTGGACACATAACAAATGCTGCTGTTTTGATCTTTGGAATTTGCAACAGGTTTTGTTTAGAGCTGGGGAGCTGAAATGGGGAACAGATGAAGAAAAGTTTATCACCATCTTGGGAACCCGAAGCGTTTCTCATTTAAGGAGGGGTAGGTAGTGTGGTTCATGTGTGCTTGAAAACTTCTGCCTGAAGTCTCAGTATTACCCAGCTTGGGGTAGAAATGGTAGAAAAGTTGTTTCTGGTACTGCATTTGTCAAGACCAGAAATCCTTAATCACCTCTTCCCTATACTTAGTACATTAATTTTGTTCTCTGTACTTCAGTTCCCCCCTAGCAGTGGTTCTCTCCTACTGCAAGGAGCAGTGCAGTAGATCTGAGGGACAGCTGGAGTGTTTTTTTCCTACGTGCTTGCTTTTTTCTTCTTGAAAGAGGTCATGGCAATAGAAGTGATGCTGAGAATCTGTTGTGGGTCATCCAGCTGTGAAAAGATCAACCCTTTTATAGTGCATATTTTATTAGCTGTCAATAGAAACAGTTTTTGTCCCTGTTCCTTACCCATGCATAAGTCTGTTTTATCAAGCTGTTTAGGCCCTTGGAAATAATGTCAAGGTAAGTTTTGAGGTCCTTTCCAAACTGGTATTCTCCAGTCTGAACAGTCCCAACTATCTTGGCCTTTTTTCATGAGAGAGACGTTCCAGTCCCTTAATCATCTTAGTGTCCCTTCATTGGACTTGTTTCAGTTGCTCCATATCACTTTTCACCTGGGGGGCCCAGAAGTGGACCCTGCATTCCAGGTGTGGCCTCACCAGTTTTGAGCAGAGGGGAAAGGATTACCTTCCTCAGCTCCCTGGCAGTGCTGCTCCTAATACAAACCAGGATTCAGGTTGCTGCCTTTGCCGCACTGGCGTGCTGCCACCTCATGTTCAACCTGGTGCCCACCAGGACCCCCAGCTCTTTTTCTGCAAAGCTGCTTTCCAGCTGGTTGCCCTCCAGCAGGTACTGGTACACAGGGTTCCTCCCAAGGTACAGGATTGTGTTGTATAGCAGGGAATATGGTAGGAAATAGGAATTAAAAATAGAACAGAGGGAAGAATGAGTGGATGATAGCATTTGAACTGTGGGTAAGGGAGACAAAGGTGGCATTCGTTACTGGTACTGGGGATGATACTGGGAGAAGTGCTGGCTATACAGGGGACTAAGCCCACTTTCTGTTTTGCAGTGTTTGACAAATACATGACTATTTCCGGCTTTCAAATTGAAGAGACCATTGACCGTGAAACCTCTGGTGATTTGGAGAAGCTGCTCTTGGCAGTTGGTAATAAAGTCTTCATAGATCTAGAACTGGCTTTCTTCTTTACTTCCATGCCTCCTTACATTGCAGCTGTTGTAGGAAGTGGCTTGGAAATGTGGTTCCTTTTTACAGTTAATCACCCGAGATCCATTTTGGTATCTAGAGAACAGGCCTTTATTCTTCCTTCAGTAGATGGGGAAGGGGGGGTAAGTGGGCCAGGAGGCGGTGGTGGACAGTGTTCTGTTTGGTCATGCATGATTCTGTCAGAAAGTGAGACAAAACTGCCTTTGTTTGTATTCCAGGCATCACACTTAGGACAATGTAATAGTAGATTTGTAACTGGGAGCAGAATTTGGCTAGCAAAGTCTCTTTTCCATTAGAAATACGTGGTGCATTGTAACTCCTAGAACCCGAAGAGTTGTAGCAGAGGAGCAGGCTAGCTGACAGCTGTATACTTTGTTGTCCACACTGGAGAGAATGGTCCAGTAACACACACCTTGTCTTGACAGCGAAAGATTGTTCTGTGTTGAAAAACAGTCAGTAATTTAATCCTTTGCCTTCTCTTAGTGAAATGCATCCGAAGCGTACCTGCCTATTTTGCTGAGACTCTGTATTATTCCATGAAGGTATGTATGTGTTCTCCATGCACCTTTCCATCTCCCCCAGCTACAAATCCTCTCCCTTTTGCTTCTTCTTCATTTCTTCTTTCACTGTAAATGCCAACAGCATACACTAAGTATCTGCAAAAGCTTTGAGGACTGCAGATCTGGTAGATGATACAGAAGATTTGTAAATTTTACTTCAGGTTCATCCTAAGTTTATCAGACCATAAATCTGTTACAGGAAATACCACTGTTACCAGTTATTTTTGGACTTGGTCTTGTTCCATTGGAGAATGTCAGGCTAGATCCACTGGGAACTTCCAGCTAAATGGAGACTGCAGTGTTCTTTAGGCGGTGGATATGTTGAGGAAGTAAAAATGACCAAAAATTATATTGTAGATTGTGCAGATTCAGTGCTTTTTGTTTTGGAGATGAGTTGCAGTTAGCTTTGAAACACGTTTTAATGATTCTCCATCCCATTTTGAGAAGGAGAAGTAACTCTGTAGGAAAAAAAGGAGAGAGGCTTGAACAGCTACAAAGGATTCTGCAGGGGAATCCCTTCAGCAATGCAGCTGTGTTTCTGTTGGCTTTGCCTCCTCTTGGATGGGAAGAGGAAGGGAAGCAGGGGAAACTGCATTTTTAACTCACAGTGGCTAATATTAATTAAAACCAAGGTAGGCAGTCTATTGTTTTCAGTCAGGTTATCAGCTTCCCTGAAGAGTTCCTCCCTTCCCCTTGCTGAAAAGCCCTGAATTACGTTTGTCACCAGATGGTTTTCTCGGTGAGGTGTCAGCATGAGAATTAGTACAGAAGAAGTGAAATGATAGCCTAATGTTTGAAAGCTGCTTTGCTGCTTCTATAGATACCAATGTAAAATAAGGTTCAGGTGGAAAATACCAAATACTATACCAATATGCTAAGCTGAATGAGGAGGATTACTTTTTTCTTATATATTTATTAATTATTTTTTTTTAAAGAATGCAATAGAAGATCTTTTCCTGTAGGTTTCAGACTCTTGTACACTTCTATTATGAGAGGCCTGGTTAATGTCTGCTGGTGAGATCCCCAATTGTCTTTATTTTTAATATAAATAAGAATCCCTAAGCACCTCAGATAAGAAAGATCATCAACTATTAGATTGGCGGAAGAGTTTGCACTTCTAATTAACCAGTTTGGCATGACAAAGTTCTACAATTAGCTTTCATGGTTGTGTATGACAGAGCCTGACTTCACCAAATTCTAATGTCAAATCCTACTCAGAAACCGTCGGACTCGTGGCGTAACTTTTGAGCAGCTTTAGGGCATTTTTAGGTGTAATCCAAGAATATTACAGCCAGTCGAAGGATTGAATGACCGTGGACATTAGGCTGAAGATGATCATGGGGGCTCTGCCAAGTCCTTCCTTGAGGTGCATTAACAGGTCAGCGTGTGGAAGTTTGTATGGCTTCAGCTTGTGTGGAGTCTGAGGTGTCTGAGCAGGAGGGGTCAGGGTGTTAGCCTGACATCGCCTGCCAGCACAGGAACTTCAGAATCTTTAAAGCAATAAAGATGGACGAGTGGGGCATATCTGTGTGGCTGAAAAAGGTTTATGAAGTCTGCCTTCATAATTAATCATCTGGAGAAGCTGTGGAATGAGCTGCTCTGCCTGTGTCTCGCTGTATGATGTTACATGGTTTGTATTAGTCATGGTTAGGGTTTATGTACCCAGCTCCAGAACTGACTGCAATTCTGAGTCTCTGACTAAGGAGTGATTTGCATGTGGTGATGGTCTGTGTGATCTTGGAACTTGGTTATTTTAAATTTATATGGGCACGCACAGTGAAGCCTGTGAGATGTAACATGAAATAAGATGTCTGGTGCTTCACAGAAGTCTGGGGATTAGAGCACCTTGCATGGCTAGTCCTCTGTTCTCCACACTGCAGCGTGAATGTCCCAGATGACCTCTGTTTTGGAGCAGAAATGTGATGCAGGAGTGTTTTGGGACACCACTTGTTGCACTTGGTGTGTCCGTGTTGCACACTAGTTGTTTGTATGTGTTGTGTTGTTACAGATCTCTCCAGAATAAACTCCACTTTTAATATTATTTAAACTTTTCTCCTTAGGGGGCTGGCACTGATGATGATACCCTGATCAGAGTCATGGTTTCAAGAAGCGAAATTGATCTGTTGGATATTAGACAAGAATTCAGAAAGAATTTTGCGAAATCATTGCATCAAATGATTCAGGTAAAACGACTGTTCTGTTGTCAGGGAAAACAGGGGTGACTGAGATGGCATCATTTCCACTGTTTGTTGTTACGGGAGAGGGCAGATGTGAGCAGTGCCCTCTGAGAGCAGTGGTGGTTGTCTGCAGTTCTGTGAAGTACCCGTGTCATTCAAGTGGGGGGTACCTCCTATGAAAAGCTATGAAAAGCTTTGTTTCCAGTGTTCTTTAGGAGAGCAGATGTGGTTTTCTGAAATCACTATTAGTCATACCCCATTTTGACCTACTGCTTCATTTCCTTTTTTTTTGGCTGGGTTCCTTCTGATTTTCGGTGCTTCAGAGGAGGTGCTGGCTCCAGAAAGCTCCAGAAATAGTATTGGGGTTTGGAGTCTGAATTACAAGGTTGAAGTTTAAATGTTGGGTTGTGGTGTGGAACCTTTTGCATCATTTCGAAGTGGAAAGCATTTTACTGTAGAATCACTCTGAATCATAGTCTCATTTGAGTGGATAGAG